TTCTGGATAAAACGAGAAAAGTCAAGGGCGTATCATACTAAAATTTCAAATTTTGCAAGTGAAAAAAACCCCATTGGAAATTAATGAAAATCAACTAAATAAGATATAAATGCACCATCTAACATTTTATTTTTTTTCTGGAAAACTGATATGAAGAAAATTATGACATTTTCTGGAAAAAAAGAAGAAAGTCAGGGGCGTATCATAGTAAAATTTCAAATTTTTCCAGTGAAAAATAACCCCATTGGAAATTAATGAAAATCAATTAAATTAGACATAAATGCACCATCTAGCATTTTATTTTTTTCTGGAAAATTAAGTATCCAAAGAAAAATTATGAAATTTTCTGAATAAAACGAGAAAAGTCAAGGGCGTATCATACTAAAATTTCAAATTTTTCAAGTGAAAAAAACCCTATTGGAAATTAATGAAAATCAACTAAATAAGATATAAATGCACCATCTAACATTTTATTTTTTTTCTGGAAAACTGATATGAAGAAAATTATGACATTTTCTGGAAAAAAAGAAGAAAGTCAGGGGCGTATCATAGTAAAATTTCAAATTTTTCAAGTGAAAAAAACCCCATTGGAAATTAATGAAAATCAACTAAATAAGATATAAATGCACCATCTAACATTTTATTTTTTTCTGGAAAACTGTCCAGGAGAAAATTATGGAATTTTCTGGAAAAAAGGAGAAAAGTCAGGGGCGTATCATACCAACATTTCAAATTTTTCAAGTGAAAAAAACCCCATTGGAAATTAATGAAAATCAACTAAATAAGATATAAATGCACCATCTAACATTTTATTTTTTTTCTGGAAAACTGATATGAAGAAAATTATGACATTTTCTGGAAAAAAAGAAGAAAGTCAGGGGCGTATCATAGTAAAATTTCAAATTTTTTCCAGTGAAAAATAACCCCATTGGAAATTAATGAAAATCAATTAAATTAGACATAAATGCACCATCTAGCATTTTATTTTTTTCTGGAAAATTAAGTATCCAAAGAAAAATTATGAAATTTTCTGAATAAAACGAGAAAAGTCAAGGGCGTATCATACTAAAATTTCAAATTTTTCAAGTGAAAAAAACCCTATTGGAAATTAATGAAAATCAACTAAATAAGATATAAATGCACCATCTAACATTTTATTTTTTTCTGGAAAACTGTCCAGGAGAAAATTATGGAATTTTCTGGAAAAAAGGAGAAAAGTCAGGGGCGTATCATACTAACATTTCAAATTTTTCAAGTGAAAAAAACCCCATTGGAAATTAATGAAAATCAACTAAATAAGATATAAATGCACCATCTAACATTTTATTTTTTTTCTGGAAAACTGATATGAAGAAAATTATGACATTTTCTGGAAAAAAAGAAGAAAGTCAGGGGCGTATCATAGTAAAATTTCAAATTTTTCCAGTGAAAAATAACCCCATTGGAAATTAATGAAAATCAATTAAATTAGACATAAATGCATCATGTTACATTTTATTTTTTATCCAAAAAAAAATTATGAAATTTTCTGGACAAAACGAGAAAAGTCAGGGGCGTATCATACTAAAATTTCAAATTTTTCAAGTGAAAAAAACCCTATTGGAAATTAATGAAAATCAACTAAATAAGATATAAATGCACCATCTAACATTTTATTTTTTTCTGGAAAACTGTCCAGGAGAAAATTATGGAATTTTCTGGAAAAAAAGGGAAAAGTCAGGGGCGTATCATACTAACATTTCAAATTTTTCCAGTGAAAAATAATCCCATTGGAAATTAACGAAAATTAATTAAATTAGACATAAATGCATCATGTTACATTTTATTTTTTATCCAAAAAAAAATTATGAAATTTTCTGGACAAAACGAGAAAAGTCAGGGGCGTATCATACTAAAATTTCAAATTTTTCAAGTGAAAAAAACCCCATTGGAAATTAATGAAAATCAACTAAATAAGATATAAATGCACCATCTAACATTTTATTTTTTTTCTGGAAAACTGATATGAAGAAAATTATGACATTTTCTGGAAAAAAAGAAGAAAGTCAGGGGCGTATCATAGTAAAATTTCAAATTTTTCAAGTGAAAAAAACCCCATTGGAAATTAATGAAAATCAACTAAATAAGATATAAATGCACCATCTAACATTTTATTTTTTTCTGGAAAACTGTCCAGGAGAAAATTATGGAATTTTCTGGAAAAAAGGAGAAAAGTCAGGGGCGTATCATACTAAAATTTCAAATTTTTCAAGTGAAAAAAACCCCATTGGAAATTAATGAAAATCAACTAAATAAGATATAAATGCACCATCTAACATTTTATTTTTTTTCTGGAAAACTGATATGAAGAAAATTATGACATTTTCTGGAAAAAAAGAAGAAAGTCAGGGGCGTATCATAGTAAAATTTCAAATTTTTCCAGTGAAAAATAACCCCATTGGAAATTAATGAAAATCAATTAAATTAGACATAAATGCACCATCTAGCATTTTATTTTTTTCTGGAAAATTAAGTATCCAAAGAAAAATTATGAAATTTTCTGAATAAAACGAGAAAAGTCAAGGGCGTATCATACTAACATTTCAAATTTTTCAAGTGAAAAAAACCCCATTGGAAATTAATGAAAATCAACTAAATAAGATATAAATGCACCATCTAACATTTTATTTTTTTCTGGAAAACTGTCCAGGAGAAAATTATGGAATTTTCTGGAAAAAAGGAGAAAAGTCAGGGGCGTATCATACTAACATTTCAAATTTTTCAAGTGAAAAAAACCCCATTGGAAATTAATGAAAATCAACTAAATAAGATATAAATGCACCATCTAACATTTTATTTTTTTTCTGGAAAACTGATAAGAAGAAAATTATGACATTTTCTGGAAAAAAAGAAGAAAGTCAGGGGCGTATCATAGTAAAATTTCAAATTTTTCCAGTGAAAAATAACCCCATTGGAAATTAATGAAAATCAATTAAATTAGACATAAATGCACCATCTAGCATTTTATTTTTTTCTGGAAAATTAAGTATCCAAAGAAAAATTATGAAATTTTCTGGATAAAACGAGAAAAGTCAAGGGCGTATCATACTAAAATTTCAAATTTTTCAAGTGAAAAAAACCCTATTGGAAATTAATATCCCATTGGAAATTAACGAAAATTAATTAAATTAGACATAAATGCATCATGTTACATTTTATTTTTTATCCAAAAAAAAATTATGAAATTTTCTGGACAAAACGAGAAAAGTCAGGGGCGTATTATACTAAAATTTTAAATTTTTCCAATGAAAAATAACCCCATTGGAAATTAATGAAAATCAATTAAATTAGACATAAATGCACCATTTAGCATTTTATTTTTTTCTGGAAAACTAAGTATCCAAAGAAAAATTATGAAATTTTCTGGACAAAACGAGAAAAGTCAAGGGCGTATCATACTAAAATTTCAAATTTTTCAAGTGAAAAATAACCCCATTGGAAATTAATGAAAATCAACTAAATAAGATATAAATGCACCATCTAACATTTTATTTTTTTTCTGGAAAACTGATAAGAAGAAAATTATGACATTTTCTGGAAAAAAAGAAGAAAGTCAGGGGCGTATCATAGTAAAATTTCAAATTTTTCCAGTGAAAAATAATCCCATTGAAAATTAATAAAAATCAACTAAATAAGACATAGATGCACCAACTAACATTTTATTTTTTTCTGGAAAACTGTCCAGGAGAAAATTATGGAATTTTCTGGAAAAAAGGAGAAAAGTCAGGGGCGTATCATACTAACATTTCAAATTTTTCCAGTGAAAAATAATCCCATTGGAAATTAACGAAAATTAATGAAAATCAACTAAATTAGACATAAATGCATCATGTTACATTTTATTTTTTATCCAAAAAAAAATTATGAAATTTTCTGGACAAAACGAGAAAAGTCAGGGGCGTATTATACTAAAATTTTAAATTTTTCCAATGAAAAATAACCCCATTGGAAATTAATGAAAATCAATTCTCAAATCCAACATTTTATTTTTCTTTTGGAAAATTATTCAGGGGAAAATTATGACATTTTCTGGAAAAAAAAGAGAAAAGTCAGGGGCGCATCACACTAAAATTTCAAATTTTTTTCCCCAAAATTAAAAATAATTTTAAAAATTAAATAGGGGTGCGTTGGATAACATCTTTTTTGGTATAAAAAAAGGACCTGCTCAGAAAAATCAATGAAATTGACAATTAAAACACTTTTGACAGTTGACTTTTAAAATGTCAACTGTCAAAAAATACATGCTCTATCAATTCTAAAACGATAGAGCCTTTTCAGCTAAAAAAAAAAAAGAAAAAAGGTGACTAGACATAAGGGCTTGCACGCTAACACATTAGGAAACCAATAGGATTAGGATTTGTTGTTAATAGAAAGTAGGATTAGGCAACAAATTAGGATTTAAAATAGGCTAAGAAGAACTGGAATAAGGAATTTTCCAGTGAAAAACTAAATAATTTGATAATGCATAATTATAATATTTTAGGCGTATTATAATGATCTTTGATAGTACATAACCATTCAATTATAGTAGAAATACTATAATTATAGTACGGTTCGCAACACTGGCATACTCAGACGTGATGTGTGACAACCATTCAAAAATTGTGACAATCAAGTGACACCTGGCAACCCTACTTGGAACAGTCTAGGTAGAATTACTATAAACCAAAAATTAATTTTCAAATCAGCCAGTAACAATCAAAGCAGTGCAAACAGAACAGAGTTAGTGCAAATGAAACAGAAATTGGAACACTTAGAGTAACTCGATTTCAAATAAGGAGTAATTTAAATTAAATTGTTGTTAATAATAAGTTGGTAAATGCAAACGTCTCAAAAAGGCAATCTATTTATTTTGTGGTGAATATTAACAAACGTCCAAAATAACACTGGCGCCATCTAGCAACAAAAAACCACAATTGCAAACTACAGATTCCTGTAATAAGGGACAAACTACAACTTACCTGTAAATCTAGTCACTAAATCAATTTCTTGAATTATTTTAGCTTCTTTGAGTATCTGAGGCACCTCTTCATCTTCGCTAGACTCTTCTTTGTGTTCCGGTAGCTCCAATAATTCACAATTGCAAAATTCTATTTTGCGTTTCAGCCGGTTATAGTCTTGTTTCAATTCCCTATATATTTTCATGCCTTTGTATTTGAATTGATTTTCGTCAAATTCTTGATGGCAAATGCATTGTTTTAATAACTGGTTATAGCGTGCATCAAGGTTTTGGAACTCAATTAATTTGTCATTGTATTTTTCGAGTAACTTTTCGTATTCTGGCTTAAGGTTTTCAAGTTCCTTCAGGATTTTGTTGTAGTTTGTATTAAACTCGTCAATTTTTTGCGTCAAGATGTTATTTCTATAAGAAATTAGATTGTTGTCGTGTTCCAGCCTTGCCAAGTTTTTGGTTTTGGTTTCGCATAAGGCCTTGAGGTTTTTAAAGGCCTTGGTGGCTTTGGCCAGGGTCGCTTCCTTGTTTTTGTACATTTCGATCATTTGGCTGCAATAATTTGGGATGACAACGTGATATTTGAGTTAGTTTGAGTTTTGTTTACCTGGTTTTGATGATTCGTTCCTTTACAAGGGTGAAATTGTGCTTTTCTGGGCAAAATTCTCGGTCCATGATTATAACCTCAAAAAAAAAAAAACCGCGCACACACACACTATTTGTAATTTACAATAAATACTGCATTTCTATTAATTTAATACGGTCAAATTTAATTAGAATTGTTTAGTTATTGGCTATTTTAAGTGGGTAACAACGTTTTTTAAACGTAATAATTGTATACAACAAGCCACTATTGTTTATTTTTATTTTGACAGATAAAAACTGTGCGTCCTTGTTTAACACGTGTGAGGCGTGTACCGTTTAGAAAATGACAGCGTGAGGGGCATGTACCGTTTCTAAGCATACAAAGTATCTAGTCCGGGAGTTAACCACATATTTCGTGATATTTCTTGTAACAATTGACGATTTATATTGTCTGATGATTCAGTACCAAGTGGTGGTTTTACTGTATAAAGAAATTGGGGTGACCATAGGGGGTGACAGATGATTAAATAGATTCATTTTGTGAAACAGTGGACTAATTTCTTTGATTATCTGCCCAAATGCTGTTATTTTCAAATGATTTCTGTCAAAAGTATTCAACATTTTGTTGTCTTCTTGAGTATGTTTTTTTTTTTTTTTTTAATGTTGATGGTGTTTAATGGAAAGAAAATTCCCCACGAGTTACATACGGCTCTACATTGTATATTTTATTTAATCAGCATATTATTTTTCATTAGCTTGCATTCTGTATTTTCTTTTTGTAGCTTCTACTTGCCGAGCGTCCTCAGTCAGAGCTTTGCATTCACTTTCGACGCTTCGAATTTTAATAAATTTTAAACGAGTTATCAATACGTAGGCCGATAACAAGTTTTTAAAAAACAATTTATTCACTAAATTACAATAGAGAAATACTTTCGCGTTCGCGTTACAAAGTTTCAAATAAGAAATATAATTACAATTCAACTGACTGTCTATTCTAGGCGGGCAGCGATATTTATAATAAAGAAAAGCGAATTAAGCAGTTTATATGAATGGTCAGCAAATAGAGCTGACATTACTTGTGGTTGCAAAAGAAATTGGTATTTCTATCTTTTTTTATACCAGGCTTAGTAAAAGAGTTGGTCATATGCAAAAGCTATTTATTAATCTAGTAAGGCCGGTAATACAAATACAGATCCCTGTCATAGTTTTAAGGTTTTTTCAAAGTAATATCGCTTCATATTTTGCCTCATAATTTCCGTAAGCCTATCTCTTTCTCTAAGCCTGGTAAAAAAAAAAGATAAAAATACATAATATTTTTATGCCTGCTCGCTCGCCTTTTTTCACCATATTAAAACATGAAAACACTTTACACACAAAAGGCCTAGTCTTATAGTGAAATACATTGGTAAGTTCAGTGCGCACTGACTGTATTCGTGTCCTTTTCTACTAGCATGTGAAAGAAAGTGACAAGAATACATGTTTTTTGCATTAATTTTACCAATGGTTTTCGCAATTATAATAATTAATGGAATTTCTTGCACTCACTTCTCAAAACTGCGGCCTCCACTTAGAAATTCTATTTTCCGGGTGAAATAAATACAGAATTTGAACTGCGGCACTTTAATGCAATTTTTCCAATTGAAAAGTCCCGGAAAATTGGAAAATTCAATGAAGAACCGGCATTCGATATAAAAGCCCGTCGCCATTTTGAAACAATGATGAAACTACGTCCGTTTGTCACGAGATGGCGCTGTAAACGCAAACTCTAAAAACGATTCAAAATAGAATAAAATGACTAATTAAAACTTAATTACATTAAAATAAATCAAACCAAGTAGGCTTTGGAATTTCGTTTTGACATTTGACAGTCGGCCATTATAAGTGAGAGGCAACCTATTCTATTAGATTCCAGGTATTCGGCCACCTAGAATATCAAACACATACAGATGATGACGTCATCAAAATTATCTAATTAATTGATAATTCCAGGCATTTGGCCACCTAAGATATAAGATACTGATAATGACGTTATTAAAATTATCTAATGATTGATTATTTAAACGGCCATGTTGTTTTTTTCGACACATGACAGATGACGTTTAGGCGTGAAATAGGGACTGTTGTGTTCGGATCGTGTTCAGGTTTTTCCTGGAAATTTCCCGGTTTTAAATGCGGAATGCGGAAAAATAATTTACTTATTTTGGTCGTGCGTGGTACTGTTTTTTTTTTTGCATTTAGTGCTTTCTCCACTTTCTCATTTACCTAGTGCTTTTTCCATTCACCTTGTTTATTTAATACTTATTATTCATATTTCATTATTGTATTAAAATATTGATATGACAACACTGTAAAATTGCGCAAGTAGGCTTTGGTTTTTTTTTTTTGACAGTTGGTATTGTCATGGCGTCTTTTAATGTTATTCGGGGCCCCCGTCTCGGGTAATTTGTATAATTTTGGGGTTTTTGGGGCGATTTCAATACTAAGCAATATCTTGAAGTGTTTATTGAAATATTTTGCGTCACAAATACACAAAACTCCAAGCCGGGCGATTGATTTTTGAACTGGTAAGTTATAACAATCATTATACAAGTAAAGTATAACTCGTATAACTTTAATCACTCCAGCCCTTCGGGCTGGTATAACTTCGGGCTCGTGATTAAAATAACTCCGGCCCTTCGGGCTCGCATAACCTTGACCCTCCTAGCTCTAATTAGAATAATCCCAGCCCTTCGGGCTGGATATTTGAAAAAAACATATAACAACACTGCTTATAACACAACAAACGTCAAAAAATTTGACGTTTCGAAGTAGGCCTTGTAATTTTTTATCAATCAATACAAAATGGCGTCTTTTTATTTTGAAGATTGCGACCCCAAAAAACCGGAGTCATTTTAATTACGTTAACTCGTATGACTTATATAATTCCGGCCCTTTGGGCTTGTTATAACCTCGGCTCTGGAGATTTGCATTTTGTCGAGGCACCTCTGATGACGTCATCCTGTTATCCAGGCAACCCTCAAATAACCTCGGATTTGAACCATAGTCTCGTTGTTTACAAGAGGTAGGTTGCAAAGATACAATGAACTGTGGTTAATAATAATAATTATTATTATATTATAAACTGTGGTTGTGTTAATTCAATGGTTTACCCAGTAGACTGATTTCCGAAAATCTTAGTGACGTCATCATCAGTATGTGTCTTGTATCCCAGGCGGCCAAATACCTGGGATAATCAAAATTTCCATCTTATTTCGTAAATATTTACATTGAAAATTCAGATATAAATTTTTGAAAGGCTTGTAAAAAGAAGTGAGGCGTTGTATTGCCACAGCTCTACTTCATCTAGTAGGCTATTTTCTAACAACTTCAGTGACGTCATTATCAGTACGTGTTTTGTATCCTAGGTAGCCAAACGCCTGGAATTATCGATCAATTAAATAATTGTAATGACGACATCATCAATTTAGTTTCGTATACTTGATGCCTGCAATAATCACATCTAATTTCGTGACGTCATCATTAGTATTTACATTGAAAACTCGGATATAAATTTTTAAAAGGCTTTTGAGGTGAAGTGAAGTTACAACTATATTAATTCAATGGCCACAGCTTCACTTCACCTAATAGGCTGATTGATAAAAATCTCTGTGACGTCATTATCGGTACGTGTCTTGTATCCTAGGTGGCCAAATGCGTGGAATTATTAATCAAAATGACGTCATCATCAGTTTAGTTTCATATATTTGTATTTGATACGTGCAATAATCACATCTTCCATCTAATTTCGTGACGTCATCATCAGTACTTACATTGAAAACTTGGATATAAATTTTTAAAAGGCTTGAAAAGTGAAGTGAGGCTGCGACTGTCTTAATTCAATGGACATAGCTTCACTTTACCTAATAGGCTGATTTGTAAAAATTTCTGTGACGTCATTATCGGTACGTGTCTTGTATCCTAGGTGGCCAAATGCCTGAAATTATCAATCAAAATGACGTCAGTTCAGCTGTTTTCGAAATATTGACTTTTTGCATTGGTGGCCGGTTACCTTTAATTTGTAATACTGACATCCATGTTTCTGATTTTTTCAAGGTTTATTTGTATCATTGTTGCCCAAGGATGATATACAGTCAGAACCTACAGGATTGCTTATCGGCTTCGTTTTTGGTAATCGGCGCCATATTAGTGTGTCACCATTTTCGACGTCATAACTAAGTCGTCAGCTGAATAGCCTACGTCAACGCGAGAAATAACATACATGCTGCTCACGTCACAACTGGTGATTTGGCCCGGCGGCGAAAGGAGGGAATTTGTTCTACACAGGCTTCATGAGGATAGGTTATTTTGTAGTAGTAGCGTCTATTATCCTTGAAAAAAAACAAGTCCTTTTTTGAAACGTCAAATTTTCGACGTTTGTTGTGTCAGGCTATGATGGAATCAGAACAGTGTTTTTAGAATAAAACTAGCAGTTGCAAATAGAAATTATACCTTTTCTACTTTTTACTCTAAAGTTCTCTGGAGTAGCTTCCTCTAAAGTACTCTGGAGTAGCTTACTCTAGAGTATTCTGAAGTAGATTACTCAAGAGTACTCTGGAGTAGCTTTCTCTAGAGTAATTTCCTTCAGAGTATTCTAGATTAGGCCACTCTAGAGTCTAGAGCACCTTATTCGAGAGTATCTCACTCAGGAATAGCTTACTCCAGAGAGCCTTACTTAAGAGTAGCTTATTTTACAGTACCTTATTCCAGAGTACTATAGAGTAGAGCAGCTTTATTATTAAGTACTCTGGAGAACAGCCTAGTCTGGAATTGACCGCAATAATGATTGCTGATCGCAATGATAGCTACTTTAGAGCAGGCTATTATAGAGTACTCTCGTGGAACCTGCTCCAAACTAGTCTAGAATAATCTGCTCTAGAGTACTATAGAAAAAGCTACAGATAGATTGAAAACTGTAGAATATTCAATATTCTTGAGCAAACTACTCTAGAGCAGCCTTGGGTAATCAGAAAGAAAACATAGTTTTGTTCATACAGGGTGTTCTAAACTACACCGGTTCAACTCTAACTGTCCGATTATTCTTTTTTTAGAGTAAATATACGGAGTAGATTAATAAGTACTCACTCCAAAGCCAAAGAACGTCGGTCGAATGCAACCAATTGTCACAAAAAACCATTTTTTTGACTCCACTCCAACGTGAATTAGAGCGTTGGGAGTTGTCTTTTACATTACAAGTAAATAGAAAATATTAATGTTTGGGTTTATAAAA